ATGTTGAGGGTATTTTTCACATAATGTATGGTGAATATTTTCTAAAATTCTCTTATATTTTAAGCTTCACAAGTTTTACACTAGTGAGCATGCACAACCTTGGCACGTGACGTTTTCGTTTTTGCAAACATGTAAAACTTATTTGGGAGGAGAAATTGAGAGGCAACCACCACACCAAGTCTGAGTCTCCACTCATGCATAGGTTCTACAGGCCGCCATGAAATTCTGTGTACCTAGTGCTTACTCTCAGTTGTGTAAAAGGATGTTAGATGGTCAAAGATACATATTGATCAATATGTGTGGTTGTTCCATTCACAAACAAGAGGGAGAAGGCAGGATTTAATGTTAAATTAATTATGTCAAGGGAAACTTTTGCATGCTGACAGAAAAGAGCATATGAAATTCAAGAAGCAATTATAAGTTATTTTTGTGACTTCAGCATACACTAGCAAAAATCTAGGAAGCACATCTGTAAACTATCTGTTCGTGATTCTTTCCCTTCTCTTCTTCAGTTCACAGTTCAAAGTCTTCCTCTGCCAAACTCTATCAAGTAATAGAGAACAGGTTTGTCTTAATTATGCGGTTTGATAAAGGAACCCTTGTTTGAAGCCAATTTTTGCCCTCGAATAATTAATGTTATGATAATTATTGTTTCTATATTTCTCTTGTAAAACCACACTGAGTATTATTCTGGGTACATTTATATCAGAAAGTCTTCTAAAAGTTGGTGGAAATACAAAGAATAATACATGAAGATTAGAAAGGTTCTGTTAAAAATATGGTATTGATTTATTCAAACAGATGAAAAGAACTAAATCTTTTCAGTGAGGCCAACCGATGAGTAAGAGGGAAGAGGGCTAAAAGAATTTGAAGGGTGTGAACAAAAGACATGGACAACAAATGTTTAGCATTATGCAAATGTTCACTGGGTAAAACAGCAACAGCAGAGTAAATTCTGGTTCTAATAAAATGATAGTTAGACAAAAACAATTGTCATTGGATGGAAAATTCATCGCTTGAATTATTTAAACTTAGCAAATAAGAAATGTCAAATGTTTGAGCAGCTAATAGGCTATATAAAAAGGTCATATATGGAGATTTAACGAATTATGCAAATCAAACCATAATTTTTTCAAACATCACCTTTCACCACCTCATGAACTTCTGACGCAAAGACGCTGAAAATTGCATTATATCTGGTTTTATATTTCATTCTGGCTAGACTGTTCAGGGTTATTCACCCTGAGATCCAGCCCAAAAGCAGTGGATTGAAAAGCGTCTACACCATACGTGAAGGAGTTTCATTGATTACACTTACAGCACCTGCCAGGGAGACAAGGGTCTGTCGGAATTCTCTCCAGGGCTGAAGGCATTGGCAGGGAATATTTTTGCACTTTCCCTGTACCTTTTTAGCACCACCGGCTCCACCCTTGCACTCTCCTGTTGCCGGGATCCTGCCCTCATGGTGAGGCCAAAGGCACAGGAAAAGATCATGTTCAACATCACTAATCATTAGGAGATGCAAATCAGAACCACAATGAGATACCACCTCACACCAGTCACAATGGTTATTATCAAAAAGATAGGAAATAACAAGTATTGTCAAGGCTGTGGAGAAAAGAGAAACCCTGTGCACTGTTGCTGGGAATGTAGACTCGTATACCTGCTATGGAAAACAGTATGGAATTTCCTCATGAAACTAAAAATAGAGCTGCCGTATGATTCACCAATTCCACTCTGGGTATTTATCTGAAGGAAACAGAACCACTCATTTGAAAAGATGTATGTGTCCCTATGTTCATTGCAGCATTATTCACAATAGCCAAATATAGAAACAACCAAAGTGTCCACTGATGAATGAATGGCTAAAGAAGATGTGGTGTGTATATACACAATGGAACACTACCCAGATGGAAAAAATAATGAACTCTTGCTGTCTGTGACAACATGGATGAAACCTGAAGGTATCATGCTAGGTGCAAGAAGTCAGACAGAGAAAGACAAATACCTTATAATTTCACTTGTATGTTGAATCTAAAAAAACACAGTAAACATACAAAAAAAAAAAATCCCATCGATGCAGAGAACAGATTTGGTGGTTGCCAGCAGGAAAGGCATTGGGAGTGGGCTAAATGGGATATGGGTATCAATAGATACAAACTTCCAATCATAAAATAAGTAAGTCACAGGGATGTAACAGTACAGCACGGTGATAGAGCCAACAATACTGCACTGCATATCATGTAAGTTTATATGGTGATACTAGGACACTAGACTTACTATGGTGGCCATTTTGCAATGTATGTTGCACACATGCAATTCATATTATGTGTCAGTTATATCTCAATAAAAACAATTCAGATATTTTAAAGATCATCTCAATTTCAGAGCACTGAATATTCAGTTCTGAGGTGAATATTCTTTCCTGAAAATCAGGAAAGAGGAAAATATGGCACACTGACATATCAGTTCAGCGATTTTAGTTTAATATTTAATGAATGTGTTGTGAGAAAGGCACAATGCTGAGCAGAGAGGGGGTTGTAAAGAAAACAAAGTAGCCCTTGCTAAATAGTTTACCAAAAAGCAGTCATAAAACATAGTCACAAAACTATGATGAAGTGATTAAAGCAGTGTGTGTGACAGAAATACCAGTTCTCAGTAGGGACGGTATTTAGCTCATAGCTGAGGCTGAATATTTCAAACATATGGGAATACAAATGGAAGGAGAGGCATTCTAGATGGAGAGAATGGGGTCAAATATTCACAGATCATGAGCAGTTTCACAATAGCTCATGGGGCAGTATGGCTACAACCCAGCCGGTGCTAAAGCTAGATCATGGTCAGATTGTGGGACACTCGGTGAGCATAGAAGTGTGGGTTTTATTCCGTAGGAAAGCCAATGGAGTTTCTTAATAGGAGGGTGACACATGAAGTAAATGCTTTAGAACCATTAATTTCTCAGAAACACACAGGGACAGTTAAACTGGGTAAAAATGTAGGCATGAAGGTCACTTCATAATCTTAAACTGCATAATCTTGAAATAATCAGAAACTGAAGTATGGGACTGGCAGCAGAAATGGAAAAGAAAGAAGGAAAGAAGGAACTCTTTGAGTGTACTACAATATATTCCTAAAATTTTACGCTGGCGATGCGTTTTAGTACTAGTTTGCTTAAATTGGGGATATACCAGTAAATTTCACTACTTTAATTTAGTGATAATATTTGGAAGTAAAATATATTCACGCGTAATGTTACACAAATGGCTTAGATGTAATCTTTTTAAAAATTTTTTTTTAATGTTTTATTTACTTTTGAGACAGAGACAGAGCATGAGCAGGGGAGGGGCAGAGAGAGAGGGAGACACAGAATCTGAAGCAGGCTCCAGGCTCTGAGCTGTCGGCACAGAACCCAATGCAGGGCTCGAACTCACAAACCACGAGATCATGACCTGAGCCGAAGTCAGACGCTTAACCGACTGGCCACTCAGGCACCCCAGATATAATCATTTTTAACAGTTCAATAGATGGTAGTTTAGCAAAAGAACTTTACATTTAATAATGTATTTTTTAGTTGCCATTAAAAATCAATACTTAATTAAATTAGAATGTGAGGGAAGGAGTTAAAGGTCTAGAGTAAGTAGGAGTAAATAATTTCATCATCATGAATCAGTGAAGATAAAATCAACAAGTTGTTATTGACGACTTACTTCATACTGCTTTTTGAGGATAAATAATATACCTGTAAAGAAACAATCTAGTTTTTAAAAATGGTTTCTAAGAAACCAAAGCTTTCATAAATGAATAAAAATTGAAAATTGAATAAAAATTGATAATAAATGCAACAATTTACATTATATCACTGGAAGGGAAAGTTAAAGCCTCAGCTACAGAGAAACTCTGAAAAATAAGTGATGTTAGACAAGTCAATATTATTTTTTTATTTAAACCTTTCTCAGTGGAACTATCCCCAAATAAATACTGTGTTTTACTATTTTCTTAAATCATTATGCTGTGCTATGTGCATATAGCTTGAGATTTCGTTGTGTGTAGTGTGGAGCATTGGACTAAGTAACTTGATTTTGCTGGATGGTGGCACTGACGTTTTCTCTTGTAGTCTTTATTTTTCCCACTGCTTTCTCCTTCTCATTTCTGCTTGTGCTGTTCTCCCACTGTTATATGATGTAACCATCATATAACACCACTAGCCGAATAGATAGAGATTTTCTTTCAATCTTTTGCATTGGGCAGAGTAGGCGCTCTATTTCCTCTTCATTTCGTTCATTGTTGCTGAGTACTAAGGAACTCCTTCCTTGGCCACCAGATACTTTCTTCCTGGCATATTCCCTCCCATTACACTTGGGAGTCCTATTATGTGAAATAAGTAAAACCATGATGGGCCCCACTGGGGATATTCATGAGAACTAGAAAATAAGTTTCTTTGGAAATGTTAACAGTACCATTGAACTTCCTTCTAACAGAAGTTATATGCCACTTTTATTTTATTTTTTTTTCAACGTTTATTTATTTATTTTTGGGACAGAGAGAGACAGAGCATGAACAGGGGAGGGGCAGAGAGAGAAGGAGACACAGAATCGGAAACAGGCTCCAGGCTCTGAGCCATCGGCCCAGAGCCTGACGCGGGGCTCGAACTCACGGACCGCGAGATCGTGACCTGGCTGAAGTCGGACGCTTAACCGACTGCGCCACCCAGGCGCCCCGCCACTTTTAAAATTTATTCTTTAATAATGTCAAGGGAATAAACATTTATTTTTCCTGTTATTAGTCATATTACTATTTTTTAAAATTTTGTCAACAAAATTTTTTTCACACTTCTTTCTTGGAAATTAGATGATGACAGAACTGGGCCTAGATGCTAAGTCACTTCGCATTCAATCTGGTTCTTTTTATTTAACTGAGAGCCACTCTTCCTTTTCTGTGTCTGCTTCAGTGAAGAAAGGAGCAGATCATCTGTAAATGCCCCATCCATTCTTTATTTCTAGGAGTTATAATGAAGTTTTGGAACCCAACTGTCAATCACTTTGAAAGTATGGTTACATGAGTTAATGGTGAGCATGATACCATGAGTTTTGCTTTAGATAAATTATTTAGCTTCCTATGGAGATCAAAATGGTAACTTTATTTTTATTACTCCCTGATAAATGGTGCATTTAGTCTGAACACAAGGTTTCAGAATGATATAACTGTTAAAAAAATATCAAGGTTTAATGTGATCCTCATATAATTTTAAATGACTTTTTTTCTCATTCAGCTGTTGAATAAAACAAGGAGAAAAATAAGTGACAAATAAAATCTTGGTTCTATAAAGCATGAACTAATTGGAAGTTAGTTGAATAACATTACATTTGTATTAGTTCATTCAATTGAATAACTCCTCAGATATATTTTCTGAATAAAGTTTAAATCTCAAAAAATGAATTAGGTAATTTGTACTTTAAGTTTCTTCATAAAATATTTCAAATTTTAATTCCTATGGGATTTTTGAGGGAATCAAAATTTTCCCCTTTTCTTTTAGTTTTTTTTTTTTTTTTAATTTTTTTTTTTTTAACGTTTATTTATTTTTGGGACAGAGAGAGACAGAGCATGAACGGGGGAGGGGCAGAGAGAGAGGGAGACACAGAATCGGAAACAGGCTCCAGGCTCTGAGCCATCAGCCCAGAGCCTGACGCGGGGCTCGAACTCACGGACCGCGAGATCGTGACCTGGCTGAAGTCGGACGCCTAACCGACTGCGCCACCCAGGCGCCCCTCTTTTAGTTTTTAATCCAAATATACACAGGTAATTATTATTGCCCCACACAAGGTAAATAAATTTTAGTGCAGTGTCCTCTCCATTCCTCAGCAACCACAGTGATCTCTTCGTGGTCACTCAACAGTGTTAACACAGCCTCGAGGCATCATCTGAGCTTATATCATTCATGAGACAAGAAGAATATACCCGCGTGGCATCAGAAGTGGTCCATATGGATGGTCAGTATAATCATACTCAACCCAGTAAACTCTGCACAGAACCTGTTGGTAATAATAATCCCAATCATTTGCATTAATCGACTTTAATCCTCACAGCAATTCTTTAACGGGGGTGCTCTTACCTTTTGCAGAGGAGGAAACTGAGGTCTGAAAGGTTAGTCACATGTCCAGTGTGACACAGTTCACATGTGATAGAACTGAGTTTTATCCCCTGCCTGCAGGTTCCACAGTTCATGCTCTTAACCACCATGTGGTACTCATTTCACTCTCATGTCACATAGAAGGGATACTCACTGGAGCACAGTCAGAAAAAAAGAGCTTTATATTCCATATGTTATTAAAATGTATCTTTTAGAGACCCATTAAATAGTTCACATCAAAACTGTTTTTAGGCAATTTCACTCTACTGTAACTTTATATCAACTTTATTTCAAGCGTGGAATTTTAAGAAAAAGGCAATTTTGTGTTTGCGTCTTTATCTCCAATATGTTTTGGCACTTACAACACAGTATGATCCTAAATTCCTTTAAGAATAAAATAGAATTTTTTTTTCAAGCATACTCATCCGTTCTCATTTTATTACTGTTCTGTACTTCAAACGCACTTCCAGTTACCATTAAATCCCACAATTTCCACCCATAACATCTGGATAAATGCATATAGATTCTATGCCAAAGAGCCATAGTGCATGAAAAAAAAAAATACTCTTGGCATTCATTAAGCTTTTCCATTTCTTTAAAATTAGGTTTTACTCCTCTGGTAAGCAGAGATGAAAGCATGTAATTAGCTAATTTTTTTCCTACTCAGTGTGATATTTGCTATTTTATTCTATGCCAATTCCTCCCCCCAACACGTCTGTTGCTTCTCTTTGGGACTGAGAATCTTCTCATCCTAATGATACTTAAGGACTCATTATTTTCCTTTATTGTGTGTAAAGAAGCATACGTTCCATTTTCCTCCATGCTTTACTGATATTATTTTTTAAAGGATTTAACATGAGTACTTGGATAGGATATGTTTGAAAGTTCCATGTTTTTGCAAAGTATACTATTTTGTGATATGTTTTATATTTTGTTGCCTAGTTGAAAACTCCCTGTCCACATGATCAAGGAGAACAGATAAATATTGTGTCCCATAGATGTACTTGCCAGTATAACTTGCCTGAGAAATAAAACTAAATGTTTGACAAGTTAGAAATTTTTATCACTTGAGAAAATTCTTTCTGAAGGTTACAATAAACTTGGATGTCAGAATTATTCACAGACTTCTAAATGATGCAGAATTGTGGAGCTCTTTAGTAAAACTGGAAGGGACAGAATTATATTTGTCATTAAACTCCATGAAAATTTTGGTAACATAGATTTATTGGCTTTCAACTCTCTTTCCCCCAGCACTTTATTAGCAAAAATATAGGGAGAGTACCAAATAGAAGTTTCACCTTGCTTACGAAACCTTATTTTAGTAACAAACCTGTACCTGAATTTTAATGACAGATACTATTGGAAAGCAGTGTTTATTTCTGCATTGTGAACTATGAGTATTAAGGATTTTAGCTATTAAATGTTAACTTCTATGTTATCAAAAGCATAGCTTACTTTGTATTAGGCTTTGGCGGCGGGGGGGTGGGGTAGGGGAGATCATCACTGTGATTTAATTAAATCTATCTGTGTTTAAAAGCAGATTAGTGTGCCTGGGTGGCTCCGTTGGTTAAGCGTTTGACTTCAGCTCAGATCATGATCTCACAGTTTGTAAGTTCAATCCTTGCATCCGGCTCTCTGCTGTCAGCACAGACTCTGCTTTGGATCCTCTGTCCCGCCTGCCCCTCCCCTACTTCCATTCTCTCTCTGTCTCTCAAAAATAAATAAGCCTTTAAAAAAGTAAATAAAAGCAGAATCAGACCTATAAATACAGAGAATAAATTGATGGTTGCCAGAGGGGAGGAGGGTGGAGAGATGGGTAAAATGGGTGAAGAGGGGTGTGGGCCATATAGTCTTCCAGTTATGGAATAAATAAGCCGCAGGAATAAAAAGCACAGTGTAAGGGATATAGTCAATGATACCGTATTAGCGTTGTATAGTGGCAGATGGTAGCTACACTTGTGAGAACAGCATAACATATAGAGAAGTTGAATCACTGTGTTGTACACCTGAAACTAATGTAACAGTGTCAACTATAATCAAAATAAATTAAAAAAAAATTTAATGAGCAAATCTATGTGTTTGGAGAGGGGTAAAATTTATGCTTCAAGGAGACAGGGATTTTCTTATATCTCCATTCCCCCACCATTTTCCTTATAATTCTTTTCATAAGCAGTAGAAAAGCGATAACTTTATCTTAATAATTGTAAATTGACTTTAACAGTACTGATGATGAGATGAGAATTATCATTCAATTCACTTGTCGACTGAGTTCATTCCAACATTAGTTTGTGTGAAATAATAAATGCTTGATTTTCAGCATGTAGCTTTGGATAACAACACAGCAAACAAAGTATCTGGGTTTCAGGTTTGAGACATAATTAAACCATGAGCGGATTAGTCAGTCAATAAAGCAGTTAAAAATATGAAAGAAAATTAATTTTATATTACTTTTATTTATACTATTTCCAGTGTTCCTCATTCCATTGTATAGTAGGTTCAAGTTTTTATCATATACATTTTGCCCGAAGGACTTCTTTTAACATTTTTGTTGTGGAGGTTTATTATAAACTCTTGTGTTTTTTTTAACCTGAAAAAATCTATTTCTTTTTTATATTTAAAAGTTATTGGGGCGCCTGGGTGGCGCAGTCGGTTAAGCGTCCGACTTCAGCCAGGTCACGATCTTGCAGTCCGTGAGTTCGAGCCCCGCGTCGGGCTCTGGGCTGATGGCTCAGAGCCTGGAGCCTGTTTCCGATTCTGTGTCTCCCTCTCTCTCTGCCCCTCGCCCGTTCATGCTCTGTCTCTCTCTGTCCCAAAAATAAATAAACGTTGAAAAAAAAATTAAAAAAAAAAAGTTATTTATGCTAGAGTATTTCTAGGTTGACGTTTTTTTCCCCCTTTAGACATTTTAAAAGAAATCACTTGATGATCTTCTGGCTTCAATAACTCCTGATGTAAATTCTTGAAAAGTCTGCTGTAATTTATACGCATATATTTATATATATGATATGTTCTTTTCTTCTGACTCTCTTGAAGATTTTCTTTTTATCTTTGGTTTTCAGTTCTTTTCTTTTCTTTTCTTTTATTCTTTTCTTTTTTCTTTTCTTTTTTAAGTAGGCTCCACACCCAATATGGAGCCCAATGCAGGGCTTGAACCCACAACCTAGAGATCAAGACCTGAGCTGAGATCACCAATTGGATGCTTAATGGACTGAGCCACCCAGGTGCCCCTGGTTTTCAGAACTTTGAATATGTTTGTCCAGGTGTTTTATTTGTTTTATTCCACTTGGTGTTCTGTGAATTTTTTGATCTGTGGTTTCATGTCTTTCAGTATTTTTGGAAAATTCTCACTCGTTAACTTACAATACTTCCTTTCCACGCTTTTTCTGTTTTGTGATTCCTATTATAGCAATATTAAACTGATATTGTCCCAAGTTCTTTCAAGGTTTTTTATTCTTTTTTAAAATTCATTATAATTTAGCATGGTTAATTTCTATTGAACTATTTTCATGTTTACTCATTCTTCTGTTTTTGGCTCTCTTAAGTCTATTAATAAGCCTATCAAAACCATTTTTCTTATCTCAGTTACTGTGTTTCTTATATCAAGCATCTCCCTTTGATTTTTTTATAGAGTTCATCCTAATAAAATTTAAAAGCTGTTCTCATAATTTTTTTCTTTATGATACAATACATGCATGTTTTCCACTTTTTTAACAAGAGTTTTTAAGTATATTAATCATAGTTAATTTAAATTTTCTGTTTGATAGTTCCAACATCTGGGTCCTATATGAACATAGGTCCATTAGTTGCTTCCAGTGTATCTTAACAGTATATTGTTTTTCTTCCTTATTGCTCTGCAATTTTTGTTGAATGCTGGCCTTTGTAAGACAGTACAAAATGAGATACGTATTGTTGATGTCTGAAAATAGACATGTCTCTTTTTATGCTAGGTTCTTACTGTGGCAGTGTGAGTTAATTTAGTTAAAGGATGAGGTGATTTGGGGTTTTGTTGTTACGATTTCACCACTGTTCCACCTTTAGGTTTAGACTTTCTATATATTGACTCATCAGAGGTCTCTCCATGTTCTTGCCCTTCACTCAACAGTACACTGATTCTGGCTATCACACATCTTTTGACAACCTGGTGATGGGGTTGGTGGTGGTGAAAGGGTTCTTTCTTGTCCTGCTTTAGTGTCAGTCTTAGGCAACCACTCTGCTGTGGGATGTTGGGGTTTTCTTAGTGACCCTACCACTCCACCAGTTGCAGAGAACCTCTAAAATTCTGACTTTGTCTTGGTTTCAAAGGCCTTTTTTTCCGTCTTTCTTTCTCTAAGCTGCAGTAGATTTCCACATGTTCCTGAAAGTTACCGGGTTTTCTGCCCCTCCCTCAGTGGGATAAGACTTCTGTCCAAGTGGAGAAAGGCCATAAAAGTCTAAGTGGGGCTTTGTGTCTTTTGCATAACTGTTGCCACTTTCTTCACCAACACCTGATCAAACAGGAGGCAATCTCTAATTTTCCCACCTGACCCAAGTCTTTCTCCCAAGCAGCCAGAGATGGGAGTGGACAAAAGTTTGAGATTAAGTACAATCTTCCCTTATGTCTATAACTCCAAGGATTCTATACTATTGTTATACTATCCAACAGCAGCATGTACAAGTTTGTTAAAATATTTAACAGTGTTCTAACCAGTACTTACATCTTGTGTCTCTTTGGAGACACCTGTATTTCCCTAGACTTGAGACTTCTTGATTTTCCTGTACGTCACTATTTTGATGGATTCAAGAAAATTTATGAATTGGTAAATTATCCAACTTGTCACTGTTGGCATGGGAGCTATGCTCTTTTAAGCTTTCTACATCCCAATACAAAACCAAAGCCCTTCTCGATTGATTTTGAATATATGACTTCTAGGATTAAATAAAGTATATGAGCTACACTGACAATTTATTAATAGTAACCCATAAACTTAAATTATAAAATTGCTTTGACGCATTATTAATCAACATAAATTTTCCTTATCTTGAACATCCTTAGAGTCGCTAAATAAAAAGTGGAAAAATTAATGATGCAGAAAATATTGGATTACTGAGCAAATAATTGGACCATTTCACATGTGGCATTCACTTTTTGTCTCATTAACTCAGTATATGAATGATGAAATCATTGCTTGATTTTTTTTTTAATGGCAAAATTTGAGGTTGAAGAAACACATAAATGCCTTTTCAAGGTCCTATTTTTTTTTTGAGATTATAATAAAAAGTGGTGTGTTTAATGCATGCTAATGATTTGAAATAATTATCCAATAGCAACAAACTTGCTTTAAATCAATTTTAATCCATTTTGAATCACATAGGATGTTTTAAATTCATAAGTTGTTATAATAAATTACAAGTTAGTTCTTTAGTCAGATACTAAAGTAATTTCAACTATTTTCTGGCTGAGCCACAAATGATTCAAATAACTTGTGATTACAAAATATAGACATTATTCATTTATTTTATTTTAGAGAGAGCACCCTCATGTGAGTTGGAGAGAAGGGCAGAGGGAGAGAGAGAGAATCCTAAGCAGATTCCATACGCAGTGCAGGACCCAATGCCAACCTCAATCCCATGACACTGGAATCATGACTTGAGCTGAAATCAAGAGTGGGGCACTCAACTGGGTGAGCCACCCAGACATTATTATTTAAAATATAATGTGATTTTCAGCATTTAAACATGTAAGCTTTGCACAACTGTTTCACAGTTTCATTGTAATTTCAATCTAAAGTATATTGGAAAAACAGGAAATAAGACTGGGAAGAAATGATTCTCTCTTTAAAAAGTTTACAAGGTGATAGAAACTGAGTAGAAACAGATTTTGGATTAAGAAGTATAAACATCTTTACACTTTGACAGTTTTTTCAACAGATATTCATATATGTCTTCTATGTCCAGACAGCGTGCTGGGCACAGGCAGAGACAAATGTCAAGGACACTGACACAGTCCTAAGAGATCAAGAAGTGTAAGTATGAATTCATAACAAAGATGGTTGGCCAAACACCAGAAACAAAGCCAAAAGCTAAACAGACACATATGAAAGAAAACAAAGTCTACTTTATTCATATTTAAAAGCCCCTAAAAATCAGCAATAAAAGCTGAACAACGTAATTAAAAATGTGCAAAGTGACATAAATATTATACCTAAAAATATTATACCTAAAAGGAAAAAAAATCATTTGTTAAACTTGCAAAAACATATGTAACCTCACTTGCAGTAAGAGAAATTGAAAATTAAGCTATAAGTTGTTGTTTTTCACCTGTCACAGTGGTAAAATTTTAAAAAATTGTTACAAGGAGGAAGAAAAAACAAGCCCCTCAATATATTTTTTTCTGGGAGAGTAAACTGATACAAGTGTTTGTATATCATTTTGTCAATATCAATCAAAGAATAAAATATATATAACTACTTCCAACAATTCATTTTACTCTTCAAGTGTCCAGGGTTATATGAATATGAATATATACTGGAGCATGTTTACTGATAATAACCAAGATATGTGGAAATGTATCAAATATCCATTAGTAAGGAACATTCATTGCATTATGTATATGCAAAATAAAATAAGAATACATTGCTTAATGTATCAAATATGTCATTGTACATTCATATAGGAGAATACTATGCTGCCAGGAAAGCAAATATTGTTTTTATGGGAACTATCATGGAATTATCTCTAAGATATTGTTAAGTGGGATATGTAAATTGTAGAACATTATAGAGAATATACTGCAAGCTTTGTAACAATAAAAATATATGTCAGTGTGCTTTTATGTGTTTAAGATAACTTATGTTTGTATTTGCATGAAACACTTTTGAAGGATCCAAAACAAAACTAAATTAATTGTTATCTCCACAAGGAATCTGGGGATTTGAGGAAATATTGAGAAAAACTTTATTTTACCTCATGTAATCTGTCTCCCTTATCAAATACATGTTATACATAAAATTATAACAAAAGATGTGTCAGTAACACAGGTAGGAGTGCCCTAGTGTTGGTAGTAAACTCAGATGCAATTAAGAAACAAAACCAATGGGTGCCATTTGGATATGAGTAGTTAGAAAAAAATATATCTAAGATGCTATATGTTTTTGGCTTAGTATCTGTCTGGCCTCGTGATCAAAGTCTATCAAATTCTGTCACATTTGCAAATATTTATTTTACTTTTATCCATTACCCATTTCTAAAGTTTCATTGACATACATGACTTTACTTGTTTATCTTTATTTGCACTTAGAGAAACGCATCATGTTTACAATGATCAAATATAAATGAGAAGTCTGTGTGCCTATCTGACAGTGAATGGCATTATCCATTGGTCCAGAGGGGAACAGCAGGACCAGGCACTCCTCTTCAGGTATGTTAGTAGTTGGTAGATCTCAGGTACATTACTGGATCTCAGTCTGGGCTGTGAATGAGAGCAGGGGTCCTCAGTGCAGATCCCTGGGCATATATCTATTTACATCTATTAGAATTTCTTTTGTTCATGAATTACTTTTTAAAATATTCCTATTGTTAACATATTGTAATCAGCAAAATATTTTTTATAGGTAAAATTTTTATAAATATTGAATACGTAACTTATACATTAGCATCTGTTATAACTTATGACCTACATCCAATCTGCTATATATCCTGCACAGAATATAGTGACAGAACCAGTGATAGATGTTTCTATTCCTTACCGCTCGGGCATGTCTGTCTGAATCCACTTCTTCCACTTGGCAAAGATGTTTTGTTTTTTTTTTTAAGTTCCAACATTAACTATTTTTAATTCATTAGTTTGGCACACTATGATAATAAGTAATATGGAATATATTCTATACCTTAAGGACTAGCCATAAAATTACAGACAGAGTACATTTCTAAAACAGTCCCTTCAGTGGGTCTGAGCCAACTGTGATTCACCTGAGCAAGGATTACCCACAGAAAGCTGTGCTTTCATTTTCTTCTCACCCTCTTTTTCAGTATCATGCTTTACTAACCAGGAAGATATAAATAAAAGGGCACATCCCTATCTTTTTCTCATTCAACTAACATTTTTCTGAAAAAAAGTGTTTAATAACAAGGTTTCAAGTTTATTTTCTAAAGTTTGAAAAAAAGTTTGCTCTTTAAGGAAAGCCAGGGGTAAATCTTTTAAATTATAATGCCTAGGGTTTTTTTTTTTCTTTCTAAAATTTTAAGTTGTTACATAATGGATTCTTTCTGAATGGGGTATGACAAAGTATCATGATGTGAATTATTCCTCTCTTTCATGTTGGCTAATGTTGTAAATCTGCAACATCTTATTATGTAAGTTACAGTGAACGAAGAGTTGGTAGAATTTCCTAAACATAGGGAAAATAAAGTAAGTATTTCCAAATGTTTTTTGAAATTTATGAAACTTTCTTTTTAGGAATTTAGCTAATTTTAGGACATAATCTGGCAATTCTTTAATCATTAAATATAGGATATGACCAGTAATTCTACTCCTAGTTATATACCCAAGAAAGATGAAAACACATGTCCACACACACACAAAAAGCCTGTTCACCAGTGCTCATAGCAGCATCATTTATAAAAGCTAAAAGGTAGAAACAACACAACCACTATCAACTAAAAATGAAAAAAACAAAATGCAGTATATCCGTACAATGGGAGTATTTGTTCACAAAAAGGAACACAATAGTGATACATGATAAAACATGGATCAACCTTGAACACATGTTGCTAACTGAAAGAGGTCAATCACAAAAGACCAAATATCATAGGATTCCATTCATATGAAAGTCCAGAATAGTGAAATCTATACTGGTTGCCTAGGGCTGGGAGATGAGGGAGTAACAGGTAACGGGTACAAGGTTTCTTTTGAAGTCAGGAAAATGTTCTGAAATTGACTGATAGTGGTGGTAATGATTACACATATCAGTGAATATACTAAAAAAAAAAAACAAACTCTTGAATTGTATATTGTAAATGAGTGAATTGTATGGCATGTAAATTATATCTCAATAAAGCTATTTTTTTAATTAAAAACAAATAAAGAAAAGAGGAATCTGACACTGGGCCCATCAAGACTGGTATCACTTGCTATTCCAGGTTGTCATTAGGATCAAAATCTTCTAATCATCCACCCCTTCCATGTGGTTTTGATCACTATGATCTAGATATGACTCCTTCACCTCTATCACATGACCACATTCCAGTATGAAAAAGAAGCAAATAATATATAGCACCTGTAACAGGAGAGCAAAACCTTACTCAGAAACTCTCATTGTTTTGCCTTTAGGGAAAGAATTAAGGCCATCTTTAGCAGCAAGAGAGGTGGGGAATTTGGTATCTTTGCCTGGATACCTTTCCACATCAAATAAAACCTGCAGAAGTGTATGTTAGGAAGGCAGTTTTCAGAACATGTCACAAATTTGTATTAATAAGAGATGTTTGGGGAGGAGCCAAGATGGCAGAACAGCACAGTTTTTTGCGTCTCGCGTCCATGAAATACAGCCAGACCAACACTAAACCATCCTACACACCTAGAAAACTGATTGGAGGATTAACACAACAATCAGCACAACCTGAACCACAGAATTCAGCAGGTACATGGTGCGGAGAAGTGAATTTGGGGAGCAAGAAGCCGCTGAGGATAGGGAACCGCTTTTGCAGGCAGAGAGAGGACGGAGACTGGGGGGGGGGGGGAGAATACACATAGCACCCCTCCCCAAGAGCAGCTGGAGAGAAGGTGGAAAATTGGAAACAGCCGCAGGGCCTAAACTAAAAAGGGAGAAAGGAGAAAGGAGAGGGTTTAAATTCCATTAAGACTATAAACAAGGGGAGCGCAGAGGCTGCAACTCTGCAGCTTGATACCTGGCGATCCTCTGGTGGGAAGGGCGAATCCCCAGGAACAGAGTGGGGTCCGGGAGGTTCTCAGGCCGCATGGGAAAAAGCGGTTCCACTGCTGGAAGGACATTCGGTAGAGACTGTTGAAGCCACCTGGTCCCAGCAGACCGCAGAAAACGGCCACATTCGCTGGTGCTGGAGCAAGGTCGTTGAGGGTGAAGCCTGGTGCCAGATGTGTGTTGTGATTTTCCATAATCCCTGAAACGCTGCTGCTACACTAACTCGCGAACTTTTTCTGGGGCGGGCTGGCACCTGGCTGCAGTCTCGGGGCACCGGCAGCAGCAGGGTCCAGCAAGCGTTCCTGGGTGCAGCCGACATTTGGCCATTGCTCATTCGTCCATTGCTAGGTGAGACCCTCCCGCAGAGGGGCGGAACGGGTCAAAGCTGCAGCCCTTCAGAAGTAAGGGGCTGGGGAAAACAGTCCCATCTGAGGCAAACTTGGGACAGAGGTACTGCCTGGGGCCTGGTCACAGAGAGTGAAAAAGCAGGGAATGGACGAAAGCTTAAGACAAAGGAAGGGTGCGCGATTGCTGATCTGGGAGAACAGACTGGGTGGCCAGGTGGCGCCATTTTTCACCGCTCCCGCGCTTATGCATGCGCACCTACGAGCGCTGCAACAATCCACCCCAGGAGGCTAGCAGCGCCATCTAGTGGAAAGCAGTGCTATTACACCGAGCCCCGCCCAACCGGGCCAACTTCGCTCTTCAAGAACACAAGTCTCACCGCCGGCTTAGTTTATGGACTATAAAGTGCTACATAGACTGACTTCTAGCGGAAAACGAAGTAATTTCAGTCCTACTTCAATCTGTTACCAGGTTCATCTATTCAATTTTCTTTTTCTTTCTTTCTTTCTTTTTTCTTTTTCTCTTTTACATTTCTTTTTCTTGAATACAGAAAGAGAATAAATTCATTTTTATTTTCAATTTTTTTTTTTAATTTTTTTTTCAACGTTTATTTATTTTTTGGGACAGAGAGAGACAGAGCATGAACGGGGGAGGGGCAGAGAGAGAGGGAGACACAGAATCGGAAACAGGCTCCAGGCTCCGAGCCATCAGCCCAGAGCCCGACGCGGGGCTCGAACTCACGGACCGCGAGATCGTGACCTGGGTGAAGTCGGACGCTTAACCGACTGCGCCACCCAGGCGCCCCTATTTTCAATTTTTATTAAAAATATTTTCCTTTAATTTTTATTACTATATTTTTTAATTTGTGTAAATTTTTTCAAAATATATTTTACTTCCATCATTTTATTTTAGTCTACTTCAGTGTATTCACCTTTTCAAATTTTCAAACAATTTCCTTTTTATTTATTTTTCTTTCTTTTTCTTTTTTCTTTTGCTTTTTTTCTTTTTCTTGAATGAAGAAAGAGAAAAACTTCATTTTTACTTTCAATTTCTATTAAAAATATTTTACTTAATTTTTTTACTATATTTTTTGCTTTTATGTAAATTTTTTCAAGTTATATTTTACTTCATTTTATTTTAGTCTAGTACAGTGTATTCACTTTTTCAAATTTTCAAATGATTTCCTTTTTTTCTTTCCTTTTTTATCTTTTTTCTCTTTTTGTTTCTTTTCTTTTTTCTTGAATACAGAAAAAGAAAAAATCATATTTATTTCTAATTTTTATTAAAAATATTTTTCTTTCATTTTTCTACTATATTCTTTACTTTTGTGTATATTTTTCAAATTCTTTTTTACCCCCATCATCTCATTTTAGTCTACTTCAGTGTATTCATTTTTTCAAATTCTCAGACGATTTCCTTTTTTTCTTTCCCCCCCTTTTTTCTCTAATCTGTCAAACCACTTTCAACACCCAGACCAAACACACCTAGGATCTAGCATCATTTATTCGATTTGTATGTGTGTGTTTAATTTTTAATTTTAACATTTTTTTAATTTAATTTTTTATTTCAATTTTTGTACCTCATTAATTCCTTTTCTCCCTTCAATATGACAAAATGAAGGAATTCACCCCAAAAGAAAGAGCATGAAGAAAGGACAGCCAACACAGGATTTAACCAACACAGATACAAGCAAGATGTCTGAACCAGAATTTACAATCACGATAATAAGAATACTAGCTGGAGTCGAAAATAGATTAGAATCCCTTTCTTCACATATAAAAGAAGTAAAAAATAGAATGAAATTAAAAATGCTATGACTGAGCTGCAATCATGGATGTATGCTGTGGCGGCAAGGATGGATGAGGCAGAACAAAGAATCAGCGATATACAGGAAAAACTTATAGAGAATAATGAAGCAGAAAAAAAGAGGGAGATTAAGGCAAAAGAGCACGATTCAAGGATGAGAGAAATCAGTGACTCATTAAAAAGGAACAACATCAGAATCACAGGGGTCCCACAAGAAGAAGAGAGAGAAATAGGCGTAGAAAGGTTATATGAGAAAATCATAGCAGAAAACTTTTCCTACCTTGGGGAAAGACACAAATATCAAAATCCAGAAAGCACAGAGGACCCCCAT